CAGTATTAATTTCTTGTTTGCATATAAGCTCATTTTGCGTTCTTTTGTTTATAGACATCTTCATTAAAAAAGGCTTCAACCAATTTTTATTAAGTTGCTATTTGTCTGCCACTTGGTTATATCCAAATTTCTAAACTTTGACGGAAGATTGCTATAATGTCGTAAAAAAATTGATAGTCTTCAAAACATATGTGATATTGCAAAAAATTTCATTATAAAAGCTAAAAAACTCGAAACCCAGAATGTGACAAAATTGTTATTGCTAAAATCATAATGAATATATCAAAATAAGCATTAGATTTTATAACACTTTTATGATTACCAACAAGATTCAAAGAAAACTTTTTTCATAGTTGCTTATTTTCAAATATTGATTTCTTTGTATATTTTATATGTATATCTGAATTTTGTATCTTATGTTAAACTTTTTGTTAAGTTTCCTGTAAAAATGTATTTATTACCTGTTGAGAAACGTAGTTGCTTTAAGATTCAATTATCAAGGCCTAACATAAGAAAGAAGAAGAAAGTAAGGATAAGAAAAATCTGGATGTTAGAGTTAAGTTTTTTTTTGTATTCTTTTAATAAAAGCTTATTATAAGTAATAAAATAGTTATAATTGTACAAGAATAAGTAGATATACTTTCAAAAATACCCACTAAAGTACCTAATTTTTAAATTTTTCATTATTTGATACATTTTTTGCATGTAGGTAAGGTAAACGTTCCTATTATCGGCACCTTAAGCTCATTGCATACCGTAAGGTATGCTTTCAATTCATTTGATATAGAAAATACTCTAGTAACCTATGTTCTGATTATTAAACCTTTTATTAGATGTATCATATTACATATGGAAAAAGTTATTTTGAAAGAAAGTAAATACCTAATAATTATTAAAAGCAATAATATAAAAAATTCGATATGCCCCGATTATCGGCATCTGAAAATAAATTCATGTTCTATTTTTCGGCATATATAAGATCCTTTTATCAGCACCGAATCATCAATCAAGTAAGTTAAAATTGAGATTTCTAAAAAGATTTTTATTAAGTAAATAATATAATAATATAATCCTATGTTCTATAAAAGCTAGATGCAAAATATTTGGTATTCCATTTTAAAAATCAAATTTGACTTAAACTCAATAATTTACTTGTCATTGACAAAAAGAACATTGTAATTCACATGTCCCTCCCTTCGGACTAAGAAAAAAGCCGTTTCATCACAATTGAATACACGACTGGGGTCAGAAGTTACGTCAAGATTGTTCTATAAACCATTGACGAATACGATTTTCTGTTAGGCTGTTTCTAGCACATGTGAGGTTCTAGGAAATCATTTCAAACAGTTCTGGATGTCTTTTTAAAAATAATTCATACCATTTGTGACCAGGCTTTCCGTCTGTAAAATTATTAGACCTATCTAGTTCTTTAATCAGTAACTAAACACTTTCTAACAACTGTATTTTCGTTGCTGGAAATCCACAGTTTGCAATCCGAAATAGCCAGGCTACTAGTAAATTTTCTTCTTCCTTCGTCAGCACCGTTTCTGGTCCATATTTCTTCTCTAAACGCGTTCCATCTTTAACTTTATCTTGTAGAGTCGATCTGGGTATCTTATATATTATGCTAGCGGTTTTAAATGGCATTCCTGATTGAATAGCTGCAACAGCCTAATTTATGGCTCCAACAGAATATTGTATTCGTTTTTTCTTCTCCATTGTAAGATTATTTCGATCTCCAATTACCGGCACGTAAAAGCTCGTATTATCGGCACAGTTTTTGTGTCAAAATAAAGATGATATCTAGTGGGAATATGGGGTGCCGAAAATTGGTAGAAAATATCATCACTTCATATTGCATTTAATGACCAAACATTATCGAGGATAAGTTAAAAGCTAAGCTAAAATCGACCTAAATAGAGTCTGAAGCATACAGCCAATTATCGGCACTGCTGCCGATGATTGAGTCAGCCACTAATTTTCATGTACCAATTATTGGCACACTTGGAATTCTCAAGAAAGCTATGAAAAGGCAGTTTTTGACAAACAAATATCAAAAATAATAATGTCAAACATACAAAAGTTAAAAAAACGATCATAAGGTACTTTATTCAGGAAGTATAACACAATGCAGTTTACCTGTTTCTAAACACTTGCAACAAGAAACACTACATATGAGAGGTCAGCTGGAACTGACCAATATATTTTTGATAGTTACCACTACCGACTTTAGCCGACAGTCTGTCGGTTTTTCAGTGACGTAGATAAAGGTTCGCAGAAATGCAAGAAATACTTTTATATGTTTATCTAGCAACAAAAACCTTATTTTTCGGGATTATATAAAATTAGTGTCGATAATTGGTACAGTGCCGATAATTGGTACATTTACCTTATGTAAGAAACCTACTTGGTTCTCGAATACATTTTTTGCAAATTTTAATCAATTCTATTTGCCTAATTTAGGTATAATCATTTACTGCATTATGATTGTTTTTTTTTAATGATTATTTACCTATATTTATAAGCTATATTTACAATTAACTATTTTATTTAAAATAAATATAATCTCCCATTACACGGAAAAAAATGTGACTAGAAAATTTTACTACAATGTTGTAGTAGTAGAAAAATACTTAACTTTTTATAGAAAATTTTACTACAATTTATAGTTAAAAACTATTCATTATTGTAGCAATTGAATTGTCGAATAAAATGCTACAACAATAGGAAAGAAGTCCACAATGTTTAGTATATTTTACTATTGTTTGTAGAAGTAGAAATTTATTACAATTATCGTAATTACTACTACTAACTTCTGTAAAAATTTCTACAAATAATAATTATCTCTACAAAAAATAGTAATTTTCTCTACAAAAAATAGTAATACTTTACATCCCTTCTTATGAAAAAAATTCATTTTTGTTCAAAAATATTCTATAATATTGTAGAAATTCTAAGTCATGTGAATAAAACAGAATTCTGCTATTGGCCAACGTTTTCTGACGTCGATCATAAATGGCCAGACAGCAGTAGCCGTTCGCCATATTCACAAAACAAAGCATAATATACAAGTACCTATAACACATTATTATATTATAAGCACCGATGCGTTTGAGAAAATTTTAATAATAACTTCTATTAGTGGTAAGTACATTTATTATTGTTTCTGAATAATTTACCTTTAGATAACTAATTTAAATAACCTTAGTAGATTATTTAAAAAAAAATAGTTGTGGTAAACGATCGAATGTTGTGCCCAACGATCGAATGTTGTGCCAAGTTCAATGTTTTTTTGTCTTAATTGTGACGTACCCACTTTCTCATTTTTGTTATGACTAATATCCAAATCAGTGTAAAGGTGATAAATATCCCCGTTTTAAGGGTATGAACAGTTCAATAGGTATTAATTTTTATTTCATATTTTCCAGGTGCAGAAAAGCTATTATTACTGTTATTTATTACATAATGTAATTAAGACTTTGTATTTTTTACATTAAAACAATAAATTGAATATTTTATTAAGGAACATTTTTTCTAGGTTATAATTATAATAATTATAAAATACTACTACAAATTTTATTAAAATTTACTACAATTTGTATGCATTTTTACTATTTATTGTGTAAAATTTTCGTATTTATTTTCATAAAACGCAATACATTTTTAATATAAATTCATACAATGAATAGCAAAAATTATAACAATTTGTAGAACAATTCTTATGATGCACTTGGATATTTTTACTAAATATTGTAGATAATAACTCTACAATACATTCTCTACAAATATTTGGAAATGTTTACTACACATTGTCCCTGTCCTATATGTACTATTTATTGTAGAGAAAAATGTATAATTGTAGAAATTTGTTCTACAATTTTTTTTCCGTGTAGTTTCTGAATTCAAGGATATGGTACCTATATATTTTTGTTTAGTATGGGTAACAGTAATATGTATGTATGCCTAATAATAATGTATGTTGTTTTAGTAGTAAATGTATCTATTTATTACTTTGATTCGTCGTAATCCACGATTTATAGTCTATAACCAAATATATATGCAAAGCTATATTCTACGACATATTGCATTAAAATTAGATCAGACAATGACAATCACCCGAGTTTACTTTTATTTTTTCCAAGATAAATATTTTCAGAGCAAAGTTTTTAATTAATACAAAAAAAACACTTCCCATAAACGTTTTGTTTATTTGTTCTCGTAATTGTATAAACAACTACTTACATTTTATGAAGCTAACACCGAAACAATTATTCAAACCAAAGTATATTGTTTAGAAGAGTTAGGTACCTATCTATTGTAGCGATACACGGTAGTATACCTAGGCAAGTACTTTTTATCTGTAACAAGTACTCCAAATTCGTCCAGTGTAAATTGTAAATAGTAAAATTAGTAATAAGTCTTACAAATAACTCATAGTTACCAAGAAATATTTTACAACAAATAAATGAAAGTGCGAAATCATATAACACTCCCAAAGTTCTTAAAACCTAAATATCCGAAATAAAAAGCCCACGCACAGTTCAACCACATCTACTGGACCATTGTCAAAATATTTACATGCCCCAATTACAAAAAAAACCTTTCTTCCTCGCCCTTAATAATAATTTTCCTCTAAGGAAAAAAGAACAAAAAAAAACAGAGCAAGCACCAGAAGTCGCAAAACTCAGAGAGAGCACACACCGCGCTCACCTTCATTAATTAGAGATTTTTGAACACGAAATGATGCGCCCATATTAATTAATTATTATTGCTCCGCACAGTAAAAATACCCTCTAGGTATAATTAGTAATCGCCAAGTAATTAGTCCTCCGTACAGCGCGCATCCCGTAGCTCGAGTAGGGGAGATGTAGGCGGGGCCATATCCGAGCCATGCGCATGATTGGCGCTACCAAAACATGGCAGGCGTTTCTGTCAATCAACCCGCTAGGTGGGGACCAGCCACAGTGCGAGCCCCTCACAAAAGCTAGTGCCGCCGTACAGTATACAGTGCGGAGTGTAACCGTGATTATCGAGTGTTAGAGTGTAGTGAACAACCAGCAAACTGTTTGCACCAACGGAAGATATGTTGACGATGGAGACAGACCTCAAGGGAGGCAGCTTACACGGGAATATACCACCGCATCATTCCCTGCAAAATTACGGATCGTTAAGTGCGCTCAGTCAAGCCCCCATGCACGGATTATCCCAGCATCCGCATCAGATCCACCACCAACCACAAGGACCACAAATCCACCACCAGCATCAGCACCAAACCCAAAACCACCATCAACAACAACCCCAACAGCAGCAGAACAACAACAATAACAATTCGTCGAAGGCGCAAAACATGGAGAGGGTGAAACGACCGATGAACGCTTTTATGGTGTGGTCCAGGGGACAGCGAAGGAAAATGGCTCAAGAGAACCCCAAGATGCACAACTCGGAGATATCTAAAAGACTCGGTGCCGAATGGAAATTACTTAGTGAAACTGAAAAGCGGCCTTTCATCGACGAAGCAAAAAGGTTACGTGCCGTGCACATGAAGGAACATCCCGACTACAAATACAGACCGAGGCGTAAAACAAAAACGCTGCTCAAAAAAGATAAGTACCCGTTAGGCGGTTCTACCTTATTATCGACATCAGATCCATCTAGAACGACCCCGTCTTCGGCTCAGCAAGTAGCCGCTGCCAGGGAAATGTACCAAATGCCTAACGGCTACATGCCCAATGGTTACATGATGCACGATCCTAGCGCGTATCAACAACAGTATCCTGGTACCAATTACGCCAGGTACGATATGGGGCAGATGCAGCACAATTACATGAACGGTGGATACGGTTCTTATGCAACAACGGTACCTAATAGCGCGGGTTCTCCTTACGGGATGCACCAAGCCGGTTCGTCGCACAGCCCTTCAGGTTCTAGTATAAAATCGGAACCTGTGAGTCCTAGTTCCGGTCTCCACACGCCAACACCCGGTGGAGGAATTAAACGGGAGTACGCTGGTCAACCCCAGCAAGGCGATTTAAGACAGATGATCTCTATGTACCTGCCGACGGATTCTGGTGTTCAACATATGCAGCACCAGTATAGCAGTTCGCCAGATCCGATGACACAAGGACCTTTAGCACCTCTGACGCATATGTGAGAACCGCTTTTTGTGGCGCAAGACTTGGACGTGCCACCCTTGTGAATTTTTTCTGTGTGTACATAAAAATACATTTTTTATTTTCTGTATCGGAATGTTTAGCGACGATATTGCGATGTTGGAGGGAATTTTTGGAGGTACCTAGTATGAGCGTGGTGTTTGGAACAAAGAGACTGGTAAAATGTAAGTCCTAATTTTATACACTGATAAAAGATATTTCTTGAAATGACAGCTGGATATGTAAACATTTGATTTCGTTTCTTTCTTATTCTACAATGTAGAAATTGTTCATTTGAATTATAAAAATGTTTCCAAAAAAAGTTTCAATATGCTAATCTACAAAAATATTATAATTTTGTGGTCATAAATCTCAAAGAAGCTATTTATGAGGTATATTTATTGTTACCTCTATTCTTTTTGTTTTGTTGTCTTAGATGTTTATTATAATATATACAGCACCTATATGGTTCTCTTCTAATATTAAACCAAGATAAAAATGTTGTTTAATTTGAATCAATAATCAACAATAAATTTTATAATAAAAACAATATTTTCCAATAAAAAATTCTTTGTTTTGACTTGACTAAATTATTTCTTACATTATAAACGTTTATCTTAATTAATTGTCAGATTAAAGTCAACATTTATACTCTTAACTTCTTTATGTTTATTTTATTTAATAATGTTTATCAAATTCTTTTAAATTAGTTAGATATTATTCCACAATTAAATGAAAGCAGCTTTGTTTTTATAAGGCATTTCTTGGTTTATGAATATGGGTTTAGATTAGTGGTTGCCAATGTTCGTTTAAAAGTATTAAAATAGTTAACTTTCACGACATGTGCAGGTCTGGAATCTCTGATCTTAATCAATATATTAATTGCTTTATCTAAGACAATAACGCATAATCATATTAATTATGTTGTTTGCTTGAAACAATAAGAAAAATCATTGTTTTATTTACTAGAATCAAGAAAATATTTTTATCAGTGTAATTCATTTAATTAAATCTGTTTTTTGTTTAATTATTCTTGAAATTAGAGATAATTAACATTCTGATGTAAAAAGTGCGTTATTTTACATTCAATTATTCTTTCTTTGTTCGAAATATTTTCTAAATTGTCACCAATAATTAATTGGTATAATAAATTATTTAATGTTTTACATAATGATTAGAAAACAAACTTACTACTATTGATATGCAAATGAAAAAGTTAATTTGCATTCATATCTTTACATAGAAAATTAATACTAATCTGAAAATTTAGAACCGACAAAAATGAAATTTCCAAAACTCTTGCTAGGTATTCTCAACAATTCACCCGTGTCGCATAATTTTTTTTTAAAATACAAATTAATTTTTGTAAAATTTCGTTTAAAAAGTTTATCTGCTCTGTTTTTTGACCAGAGTTGGATACGTTTAATGAGATTCTTCGTTGACCGCACTAGTTTTTGAATAGGTATGTGAGGTATTTATAATTTTGACCGAATAATAACCCAAGTCAAAAAAAAAATTGATTCTAACATTTTATGAGTAAAAATATTTATAATGCATTAACAATTTTTATATACTGAACTGATTTGAAAGTCCTGGTGGTAGATATATCAATTTTTATTAAGAAAATACTTAAATTAACATTTTTGTAATTATTTTCTGCATCAGAATATGGCTAAGAAGTCATTAATACTGCAAAAATAGTCAGATTAATTTAGCATTTTCTCTATCAAGGTCTCTCATGTTTTTTATTGTCAATCTATTATTATATTGGATATTCTGAGTGTCTGTATCTTCAATAACCCTTTAGGGTGTTGATATGGACTATTTTAAACATTTGATCAAATGCTTATTTCCTAGATGACCTGATACTCAACTTGGATTGATTTCACTTGCAATTGTCCAGAGTTTTGTTCATGATCTTTCTATTATTTACATTGATAGTTGCCAAGCTTTCTGTCTTTGCATGGATTCTCTTATTTTTAATCATCAATATGTTGTTGCTTCAATCTGAGCTAGAGGGATACATTTTGCCCATCAACTCATCATATTTAAGTAAAGAAACATATTTTCTCCCTGCTAAATACAATAAAATGATATTCATTACACTGGTGGCATATCTATCTATTCTTATTGAATTAAGTACCTTAAATTGACGAAATACTTTCTTCTGAACTCAAAATTAATTTTTTAAAGCCTTTTTCTCCGCACCAGTAAAGTTTTCTTGTGGGGATCTGATTTCATAGATATCAGAAATCATTATTAAAAGTTTTAGGTACATCATTTTCACTTTTTTCTCTTATTAATAGATTTTGTTTGATTCAGAGGTGTTGGTCGCATTGTTTCAAATATCTTTGTCATAGGTTTCAACATTCTTAATAAAGTTATTATTTTTCTGTTGAAGATTATATTGGATTTAATTATATAAACAAATCTCATTTTAAATCTTCAGGTATCATAATGAACATTGATTGATGATTGATCAAATAGTTCTGATTAGAAATCACCTGAAGGTGTGGGTGGCTAATAGACAAACTTTTTTTCTATTTTTAATATATTATCCTTTGTTTGGGAAGAATGGCCAATAATATCAAAAGTATTTGCATTTCTTGTTTATTTTCTTTTTTCAAGTCATATTTTTTTTTTCGTAAACAACTCTTAAGAACTTGTTTGCTCAACTTCTTCTATTAATTATGCATCTGTATTCTTTTCTTTATATTCCTTCTATATTGTTTTTATTGTTAACATAGGTAGAACATAGAATTACTTTCCAATTATGTTTTTAACAGTATTAATTTACTAGGAATGTTTTCTTTTAATTTAAATAAATTTATATTTGATATTTTAATCAATCAATATTATTTAAATATCTGAATCAAAGTTCACTGTAAGAAACAGTTGAATTGCTTTACCTACCAAATTTATTATTAATTTTACCTAAGTTTGATCAACATTTACACTAAATTAAGATATCAAATTAATGAAAGAAGGTACATGTGTAGTTTGGTAATTTTTGATAAATTTGAGAAGAAAAATAACTTTGGGCAACTTAAAAAAAAGATTTTTTAAATTATTTTATGCAAATTTTAATTATTTATAAATTAATTGTTTTTATATTCAAAAAAATATAGATATTACTAAAAAAATAAGTATTAAATATAATATATTTATAACAAATGTTACTTAAAAAATAAAATTTGTTAACCACTATAGGTATCTATAAATAAATAAAAATTGCCCAAAAATCACCAGGAAGAAATAATATTTATGAATATTACTTATATTAGAATAAATATTACTCCAAAAATTACAAATATCTTTTCGAAAGTTATACAAAATATATAAAATTAACAAAGTTTTAACAATAGACTAACAAATGTTTTAGTAAAATTATTATTATTAACAAAAAATTTAATTATTTTCAAAAATAACCAAACTTACATTTTAAATTACAAAAAATTATTCAAGTTTTGACTGTAAAATAAGATATTTACCTAATTTTATACTTTTTACATACAATTTTTACTCAAAAAATGACTATCTAGATTTCTAATCAATTTTATATCTTGGAAACCCACATACTGTTTCGAAATACTTGACAAATACTTAACGAGGAATCTTGGCGATTTAACGGTTCATTTTTCTCAGTCTACTTCGTTTTCTTTTTTGTTTATTCGTTGCTAGGGGCTACGAAAACAAAAGCCTATTGATGAAGCGATTCTAAACGAAACAACTGAGCACGTATTTTTTTTTAATTTTGCACGTTGATTGCTTAGATTTTTTTACAATATAGATGCAACAATTATTAAATAAAATACAATTATTTTTAATTTCTTTGATAAATATACCATTTAGTTTATTGAATAATCGCCATATTATAATTATAATGATTTGGTATCAAAATCTTAAGCAACCGACGGCAATTTTTTGTAAATAATTTTGATTTAATTGTATGGATCTCTACGTCTATAAGAATGCTTTAAAATACGAAACGAAAAAATACTAAAATGAAGACAATGTCTTATTTTTGTATAAATTAAACCAAACGTATAATAATTATTTGGATCAAATACTAGAACCGATACCCTAGCTATTGAAAAAAATATTTTACCTCTAATTATAAATGGCTAATTTGAATCTATTTCAAAGTTCTAACTGTGATAAAAGTTTTGATGAGTATGATTAGTGAGGAAGCTGGTGATGTTATTGATAAGTAAATATTAAAATTTATGTTGGTATAATATTTTTTGCAAAATTATCTAATTGCGATACCTGTGTTTAAAAAAAAAAGTTTTTGTCTAGGTATAATTTTTTTATTATTATACATATTTGACATTTATCTTCTGCTTTTTTATTATCTTTTGTTAACTACACTAATGGAAAAAATTAAGGGATCAAAAAAGTCTCGATTTTTGCGAGTTTTCGAGTGGCTGTATCTTTGGTAAAAATGGTCGTACCTGAATGAAAATAAAAGCAATTTGAAGCCTGAAGTGTCTAGTTTATGGATCTTGCGTTAAAAAATTTTCCAATCAACAATTACCACAAAATCTTGATGAATGTCATGGATAGAAAATTTTTGAATTTTTTTTTTAATTTTTAGTGAAAAACATTTTCTCGACATAACCACTATATGCATTGGATAGGTGGTTCAGTTAGCTTCAATTTATTTTTTTGATGGCCTCGATATGACCCTTCCTTGCTGAGTTATCAGAAAATTAACGAAAATGCGTCATTTCCTCTTCTCTCGTCAATATCTCAGGAACCAATGGCCGCTCAGAAAATGGAAGCGGTATTTCGGAAACTACGATTCATTCTCTACAAGGTTCTGGCATGTCCTTTCAGGAGAAAAATTTTTTTCATCCCTGGCATGAATTTGAAGAATTTCGGAAAACGTCTTTTTGAGGTTTTTTTAGAAAATCACGTGCCACATTGAGAATATTGGAAAAATGAAAAATTTTGAGTGTGCATCGTACAGGTCATTGTTTTCCCGAAGGCCCTACAAAATTTTAACCTGATCCATCAAGCAGTTTCATGCGAGTCAATTTTTGAAGAAATTGAAAGATCGCGTTTTTCTATCCATGATATTCATCGGGATTTTGTGCTAATTGTTAGTTGGACAATTTTTTTTGTCGCAAGATCCATAAACTAGACACTTCAAACTTCAAATTGCTTTTTTTTTTTCATTTACGTACGACCATTTTTACCAAAGATACAGCCACTCGAAAAATCGCAAAAGTCGAGATTTTTTTTGATCCCTTAATTTTTTCCACTGTGTATTTGGGAATAATCTTTCTTGTTAAAGCAGAAATTCAATTGTATGAATTCAATTTTTAATCATTCAATTATAATTTTAATTCTATTTTATATCAGTTACAGCTGATTGTAAAATTATGAGTAAAAATACACATTGAAATTTCATTTTTCATTTATTTGATCTATCTCTAAGAAAATTTTAAAAGGTC